AAAAAAAAAAAAAACCAAAAAGAGTATTGGTAATTTAAACCTACCATAATTTTGCATCTGGTTTCTCAAATAATTCTGTGGGTTTCGAATCAAAACTTGATAAAAAGGAAGAATTATCAACACTAAAGTCCTACGATGTGTTAGGATATGAGAAGAGAAACTTTGTCACTGCAAGTAACTCCTTTGATAGGGCATAATAGAGAATATAAACAGCAGCCTCTATAGTCAAATAAGCTTGAAAGGACTACTGTTGAAGCATAGATCACTCCAGTCCATCCATACATCTGTTCATTTCTTCTACTGTAACAGAAAGTAAATAAGCACTAAATAAACAACCGGCAACTGTTAAAAGATGAAAGATGCAACAAATCAGGGTAGTAATATAGTAGAACTAAAACTTTTTTGGCGTTGGCACAAAGTCAGTTGGTTAATGTAGTTATGAGATAATCAATTTCTTTGAAAAACTGACCATTTGCAAGTTCACCTGATTGAGGGAAAGGCAATAATAAGAAACATTTTAATTCTGCTTTGTAATAGTAACTAATGTTTATTTGGGGCCAGAAACTATATAAAGTCTTTATATAAACTGTATCATTGAATCCTCTCAATAATCCCAGGGTTAAGTATTATTGTACCTACTTTAGAGATGAGAAAAGAGAGTCAAAATTTTTAGTTTAATTTTCTCAATATTTCACAGATGTTAAATGATGAAGCTGTAATTTTAAAACCAGAAAATTTAACTTCAAAGACCATGTTCTTAATCAATATCATATATGCCTATAGAGAGAGCCTAGATTTCCCTCTACAGAACTTAGCCTTCAAAGACCGTGTTCTTAATCAATACCATATACGCTTATAGAGAGAGCCTAGATTTCCCTCTACAGAACTTAGCCTTTCATTGTTTCTTCACCAGAAAACCATTTTCTTTAATAACCTTTTTTAAAGCACACTAGATAGCTAATACTACACACGTCACTACGCAATCTTAAGAGCTGAATGACTATTTTTTAAGTGCTATGAATAATTGGCAAAAATATGATTTTTAATTTAGTGGGCTGATTAAAACATAAATTTTATTTAAGATACATTAGAATAATGTAGAACAATCAAGTTAAATAAATATTTTTTCCTAAAAAACACAACAGATAATGTTTACTTCTGGATAAAATTTTACAACCACTAACAATTCAAGTCTTGCATTTTCAGTCAGGCCCTCATAGTTGACCTATTTTTTCCCTTCCTCTTAGTTATAAATCCTTTCCTTTTACTTTCCCACTTCTCTCAGTCCCAAATCCAAATCCAAGACATTTCCATGTTCCAAGACTTAAACCCCATTTCTTCTTCTTCTTCTCCTGCTCCTCCTCCTCCTCCCTCTTCTTTTTTTTTTGGAGAGATTTTCACTGTAGGGTGCGTGCGCTTGCCAGACAGACAGAGAGAGACATAGAGACAGAAAGCGAGAAATCACCCCCCAGGGGGGATGGTCATGCCGCAATCCCTTCTCCTCCATTCTCCTCTCGGGATCTTGGGCACGCATGCACACGTGCCCGGCATGAGTTTTAAGCCACCGGGTCCGGGACACGAACCGCAGTCGACTACGTGGGAGTCCAGCGACATAGCCATTATGCTAACTGCTGGTTCCCATCCTCCCTCTTCTTTTCAAGAGAGAGATCTTTGCTATAGGACACATGCACTCACCAGGGAGACAGAGAGGCAGAAAGTGAGAAATCACCCCATAGGGGGATGGCCACGCTGCAATCCCTTCTCCATTCTTCTCAAAAAAAAAAACCCAAAAAGAGTATTGGTAATTTAAACCTACCATAATTTTGCATCTGGTTTCTCAAATAATTCTGTGGGTTTCGAATCAAAACTTGATAAAAAGGAAGAATTATCAACACTAAAGTCCTACGATGTGTTAGGATATGAGAAGAGAAACTTTGTCACTGCAAGTAACTCCTTTGATAGGGCATAATAGAGAATATAAACAGCAGCCTCTATAGTCAAATAAGCTTGAAAGGACTACTGTTGAAGCATAGATCACTCCAGTCCATCCATACATCTGTTCATTTCTTCTACTGTAACAGAAAGTAAATAAGCACTAAATAAACAACCGGCAACTGTTAAAAGATGAAAGATGCAACAAATCAGGGTAGTAATATAGTAGAACTAAAACTTTTTTGGCGTTGGCACAAAGTCAGTTGGTTAATGTAGTTATGAGATAATCAATTTCTTTGAAAAACTGACCATTTGCAAGTTCACCTGATTGAGGGAAAGGCAATAATAAGAAACATTTTAATTCTGCTTTGTAATAGTAACTAATGTTTATTTGGGGCCAGAAACTATATAAAGTCTTTATATAAACTGTATCATTGAATCCTCTCAATAATCCCAGGGTTAAGTATTATTGTACCTACTTTAGAGATGAGAAAAGAGAGTCAAAATTTTTAGTTTAATTTTCTCAATATTTCACAGATGTTAAATGATGAAGCTGTAATTTTAAAACCAGAAAATTTAACTTCAAAGACCATGTTCTTAATCAATATCATATATGCCTATAGAGAGAGCCTAGATTTCCCTCTACAGAACTTAGCCTTCAAAGACCGTGTTCTTAATCAATACCATATACGCTTATAGAGAGAGCCTAGATTTCCCTCTACAGAACTTAGCCTTTCATTGTTTCTTCACCAGAAAACCATTTTCTTTAATAACCTTTTTTAAAGCACACTAGATAGCTAATACTACACACGTCACTACGCAATCTTAAGAGCTGAATGACTATTTTTTAAGTGCTATGAATAATTGGCAAAAATATGATTTTTAATTTAGTGGGCTGATTAAAACATAAATTTTATTTAAGATACATTAGAATAATGTAGAACAATCAAGTTAAATAAATATTTTTTCCTAAAAAACACAACAGATAATGTTTACTTCTGGATAAAATTTTACAACCACTAACAATTCAAGTCTTGCATTTTCAGTCAGGCCCTCATAGTTGACCTATTTTTTCCCTTCCTCTTAGTTATAAATCCTTTCCTTTTACTTTCCCACTTCTCTCAGTCCCAAATCCAAATCCAAGACATTTCCATGTTCCAAGACTTAAACCCCATTTCTTCTTCTTCTTCTCCTGCTCCTCCTCCTCCTCCCTCTTCTTTTTTTTTTGGAGAGATTTTCACTGTAGGGTGCGTGCGCTTGCCAGACAGACAGAGAGAGACATAGAGACAGAAAGCGAGAAATCACCCCCCAGGGGGGATGGTCATGCCGCAATCCCTTCTCCTCCATTCTCCTCTCGGGATCTTGGGCACGCATGCACACGCGCCCGGCATGAGTTTTAAGCCACCGGGTCCGGGACACGAACCGCAGTCGACTACGTGGGAGTCCAGCGACATAGCCATTATGCTAACTGCTGGTTCCCATCCTCCCTCTTCTTTTCAAGAGAGAGATCTTTGCTATAGGACACATGCACTCACCAGGGAGACAGAGAGGCAGAAAGTGAGAAATCACCCCATAGGGGGATGGCCACGCTGCAATCCCTTCTCCATTCTTCTCTTGGGACTTAGGGAACACTTGCACAAATTCCTGGCATTAATTTTAAGCTACTTCGTCTGGGACTCAAACCATGGTCGACTACATGGGAGTCTAGCAAAATAACCATTATGCCATCTGCTGGTTCTGATCCTTATTTCTATATCTCTTTGATATTGTTTCCTATATCACTGAGGATACTCAGGCCATCAAGTTTGAATTCCCTGAACATCCTCCTGCCAGGCCTACAAATTTATCCACATGCCTACCATCTTTCCAATCTTTCCTGAGAAGCTAATATCTCCTCTTCTTTGTATTTCTACTCTTGGTTCCATCCTCTCCCACCTCTTCAAGAAACAGCAACCATTTTGCTTTCTATCTCTTGTAGAGTACCAGATTTGCCAAATACATTGCTGATGAATACATGCCAAAACCTTTTATGAGGGAAGGTGATTCACTCATGATCTCTGGAAACACAAGTTTTGTAACATACAAACTCCTCTGTATTAACCGAGAGGCCCAAGTGAGTGCTTATCTCAAAAGACAGCCATGTTATAGACTGCCTAAAGAATTAAGAAATGGTCTGACATAAAAAGATAAGTAAGGCTTCTCTCCTTATTAAAACGTTCCAAAGGCTGCTCACTGCTCTAAAAATGAGACACTTATTTAAAATGAGTGAATTTTTATTAAAAGTTATGATATGATCTTTGATATATTTATCACCTGTGAAAGTAATTCACTTTAATATTCAGTGCACACATAATGAGGGGCAGATTGGAGTCTGGATCCAAAGCTTACATACTCTTTGTATTTAATACTATATATGACTTTTTCCTAGCCAAAAACATGGAGACACTGCTTTTATTATTGACATGTTGGCATGAAAACAAAAGGACTGGAGCTAGTTTACATAGGAATACAAAACAGTATGAAAAAGAGAGATGAGGAATTAGGAGGAAAATAAAATCAACTAGGGGCAACTTTAGTGTACAATAATGTGTGCCATAGACTACTAAATAAGTAGTCAGAACAGAGTCTCTAAAGACTGCTTCATTAGGAAGAAAAAAATGCCTTGGGAAAATGTGGTACCTTCTAAGAACTACACACACACTTTGTTGGGGGCATGTGTGCTCACACAAGGGAAACAAGAAGAGAGGAGAAAGCACTCCCCAGTGTGATGTGATCAGACATCAATTTCATCTCCTCCATTTCTCTACCCTATCAGAATTTGGGGCATACATGTTTATGCACCCAGGATGTTTTTCAAGCTACTAAGACCAGGATTTGAGCCTCACAGATAATATGAGACCCAGCTCCCTTCACCATCAGGCAACACAGTTGGCCCATTAAGTATATATATTAAGGAAAATTAGTAAGATGCACCTGGCACAAATGCTCGCTGAATGAACCTAGAAATATTATGGGTACCAGGACCAGCAGATGGCATAATGGTTATGTTGCTAGATAGACTCTCATGTAGTTGACTATGGTTCTAGTTCTGGACCTGGCAGCTTAAAGAACACTCAAGCCAAGTGCATGTGCACTCATGCCCAAAATCCTGAGAGGAGAATGGAGAAGGGATTGCAGCATGACTGTCCCCTTGAGGGGTGATTTCTCACTTTCTGTCTCTCTTGTGAGAGTATACACCCCATAGCAAAAATCTCTTTCAAAAAAGAAAAATATTATGGGTACCTCAATGTAAGGGTTTAAAAAGAGGGTAGATATGAAGTCTTTAAAAAAAACTATAAATATCACTGACTATATTCAGGCATTGACATTCTACCCCATTTGAAAAAGAACATGTTGCTCTGAAGATACTTTCCTGCATAGAACATCCAAAAATGTTCAGCATTCAACTTGAAATCTATTCTTGATTTTACATAATTTTCTTGGCTAACCTTTAGAAGCATACCTCTCTGAACTAGAGACACTTAACCGAAGAGAGAGTAAAGAAGATGATGGATTTATTGAGAGCAATGTAATAGTATCTTTGATGGGAAAGATGCACTCCTTTTTCCTAATGGGCAGATAAACCAGATAATCTGAATGAAGAAACCAAGGTATTGTTTGAATTCATGATTTAGGGGGTCAGGCAAAGATTCTGAGCAATAATCTATGTAAAACTCATCTGCTGATTTCAGTATGTACACAGAAGGAGAGTATGCACCTGGAGCGATGTAAATACAAAGCCACATTTGCTTCGCAAGGCAGATTAACCCATAGTTAATTGGCCATGACTCAATGCGCCCAATTAACAAGATTGCTTGAGTCTCTGCTTCCTCAATCTTTGGGATATCAACAAGCACAGAACTTCTGAGGTGCTGTCTCAGTAATTTGTGTCAGCTCTGTTGGTCCAGGTCCCGGCAACACCAAACGCTGAGAATTTAGATTCCAGCAGAACTAAGCCCCTGCCCAAGTTCTTCTCGGCTTTCCTGTATCCCGCCTATTTTCAAAATGTAATGATGAGAGGAACACAGGGCATCAAGAGGCATCCTGCTGCAAGGCCCAGCGATCTGCCTTTCCGACAACCTCCTCAAGTGGATTTGATGCGAGTGTTTCAGAGATCACTTTGACAAACACAGCACAGCGTGGGCGCGTTGACACGCGTCCTTCCGTAACCGAAGTAGGTTTACAAAGCCTCGCAGGCTGGGGCGAGGTCTCAGCTTCATCCCCTGTGAAGGTCGGCGGCAGTCTGAGTCAGTCAGTCCCTCAGGCGCCGGCTACGAGGAAACTCGCCCCCGCTCC